ATGTTCATATCTTTAAAATAAAAATTTCTTAGAATTAACATTCGCTAAAATTTTTTATGTGTATACTGTGTGTTGTCGCCAATAAAGTCTGCTTGGCGAGATTTGCGCCGGTCCAACGGAAAAGTACCCAGTTTTTTCCCTTTATCCACAATTTATTTGTGTAAAGAAATAATTTTGTTAAAATTTCATTTATGCAAAATTTGTGAATGAAATATACAGTTCTCTCTACAATGTTTCTTTGTGCAATATTCCTTTACATAAACTTCTTGCACATTATTTAAAAGTACAGAATCATTAGTCTGTTGACTTTTTTTGTGAATATATTATATCTGTTTAGTTAGTTTGAAGCACATTATATATTTCCTGTCCTCTGCTTGAGATATAGTTGATAATCGCCTCTATTTTTTTTACTTAATTATTGGTTTTTATTGCATAGTTGATATATTCGTAAATATCAGTTTCTTGAAACTTTGGATGATATTTACTTGTTAACAAACAATTCATGAGGAAGTGATTTGGATTCCCCTTTCCCTACATATGTATGCATCTGAGGGTACAATATTTCTTTTCTGAGAGTGTGCAAAGAAAAAGACAATGTTCTGTTCATCGCATGGCGTCCTATTATAGCGGAAAAGATTCCCAGTTTTTAAATAATAACATTCTTGTAAAGGCTTTTTGGATATGAAGAAAAGGATATTTATATTTTCATGTAACTGAAATTAAATGTTTTTGTTTCTTTGAAACTTGCGAAGTGAAATAATTATTTGATGCAACAGAATGTTAGCTAATTGTTTTTATTCTTCCGAGAATTTCTCGTTTAATTTACGAAAGCCTCTAAATTGCATCCAATTAATTAGCCTTTACTTATTAACTAATTTAACAAAGAACTGGTATTACAAGACAAGAAAGATTCATTTTTGTCCAAAACTATTGACAATTTCAAAACTATTGACTAAAAGAATCTGACCGAAACTAGTTTTCGTTTTCTGCATAACATCTTAGAAATTAATAGAAAGGTCATAAATCACTGTCGTTTTCCCCAATTCAGTTTTAGACGAACTCGAGAAGAAATAAGTATATTTTCACGTCTTTGCCGATACTGAATGTAAATAGGCAAAATTTTTATTTTTATTCATTTTTAAAATGTGCTTATTAAAAGCAAAAACAATTTTAAGCTGGCTGTCATTATATGGTTGATAAAATTAAGTAACCCAACCTTGGGCTTATTTCAAAGCAATATAAAATGGCAGAAAGAAAGAATTTATCAAAATATATGTCGACATTATTCCCAAAATAAGGATCTGCATTTTTCCCTATAGCTAAAAATTTTTTACGTTAGCTTTCATATGGTGTCGAAAGTAGAGCGTATAAAGACGTATGTAAAAATCATGGTTCAGTTTTACCAAATCTGAGAAATTTTTCTTCATATACTACTTGTTTTTCTGGGATCTATCCAGTAGATAAATTGTTTTCGTTTAGTGGCAATAACATGCTAGATTCGTCAAGAATTTGTAAGCTGGAAAAAAGACCTGCATTGTTTTAAGAAGTTAATTTATTTAAAATAAAAGATTCTATTTTCATATCTTTTTTTCAATGCTCTTCTAGTATTTACATTCTTAACTACGATGGATGTTTGGCACCGTTTTGTCGATATCAAAAACTGTAGCAGTAACCGAATTTAATTTTATCTGAATATCATTATCGTGCATTTGCAAAGTATTAGGTAAGAAACAATATTCAGAAATTATTATGTCTAAACAACGGTGCTTAAATAAATTCTATAAAATATCCCACCACTGACCGAGCGGTTAAAACTTGAATACTGGAAGTTCGATCCGTGGGTAACCGACTGGCTGCATGATTGGAGTTTTCCACATATAACGTGGATAAGAGCCAGTTTCTCTTTGAAGGTTTCTCCATGAAAGACATTCCTCCCCTTAGACAAGTAGCTCTGGTGCACTTTGTCATATACAGATAATTTCCTAATTTTTGAAGAAAGTTAGGTTAAATTATTTCCCTATGAACACTGCTTAGGAAGGGTCCTGGAAGACAGTATTTAGAGAATTAACAAAAAATTCAGTATCTATCATGAGAAAAATTGCGCATTAATTGTAAAACTTTTATTCATTAAAATTTAATTTGCATAAAATTTTCTTACTTCCTTTATGAGAAAATTTCAGAATGATGTTTTTAAATCAGTCATCCCACTAAAGGTCACGTTTAGCCCGGCGCCGAATTTGCTGTCTTTTCCGTTCAGCCGGCGCAAGCGATCGAGCACAAGGTCCGTACAGTGAACGGACCTTGGATCAAGCGGTGCAATGTTGCAGGATCATCAGCTACTTCATGCACTGAGTAGAGCTTATCTGTTGGTGAGCTTTATCGGCTACTGACATAAAAGTCCTGCCTGTGCGACGTAACAAAGCTCGTGGTCGCGAATGTTGATACTGTCGGTCCCGCGCACCAATGCCAGGCAAACGAAAATTCTAGTGCTGGTCCCCAGGCACCGCCATCGACCGCACGGAAAGTTCACCGGCGCCGAGCTCAACGTCTTAAATGACAGGAATTAGAGAATCCCTTGCTGATATTTAAACCCCCCAAATTTTTATTACATAATATGTCGATAAATAATTTATTATTACCTCGTAATTTTATTTTCGTATTTATGTATATGCTTGAACTATGTTTTTTACTTAAACTGGGCCAAATGAACGCTTATATTTCATTGCCAGTGTATGCGAAATAAGGCTTTGTAAGTAGTTCTAATGGTTTTGTATTCCTTTTGTTTCATTTGCAAGTTCTGAAGTTCACATTTGGTTAATAAAACATTAAGCATCTTTTACAAAAGTGTTTTTAAGCGAAGTACTCTTAATCACTAATTGGCAAGATTAAAATTTTTTTACATAAAGAGAATACAGACTTAAAAGAATATTTTTTGTGATCAGTATAAATATATGATCACTTGAACATAAATTTAATTCAAGACTGACGACAAATATGTTGATTATTTCACCTAATATTACCAAGACACACATGCACATTCTCCAGCTAAACAGATAAGTATTAGGTAAAATGAGAGTTTCGGGTTACGAGGAGCTGCGTCAATATTGAGAATTAAGCATTTATTATTTTTAAGTGAATGGAAAGTCCCATAAACAATTTTGCATGTTTGTAGTTATGAATTTCTACAAAAACTTCACTTCTATATAATACATTTAAAGTTCTTTTTTTCTATATAATACATTTAAAGTTTCCAATTCGGGAACTAGTCTATCACTGTCGTCTGCTCACCTTTCGGCTCACTTAACAAGAATTTCTGAATAACTACTTTACTACTCTATTGGTGGGCCTCAGCTCGGTAAAATAAGGGATGCTAGCGAAAAGGGTTTTCAAAGGGAAACTAGCATATATTCATATCACACACGGCAGAAACTATGAAAATGCCCATACAGTCAGCTCACTTCCTGGGTTTGCATCCAGTTCAAACTCCACTGTCCTGCAGTTCCATTCCGTCAGCCCTCAACGAACCCAGAACCGTTACAATTTTGGTGATTCTTACAACTAATCGTTGCCTGAATTTCCCTTGAGTCAATCGAGTAAATTCAGTCGTAAAATAAATAGAATTACTATGCCCATCTAAAAATTTTACATACCTGGTTATATAACTAAAAGTACCTGAATATGACGTCTTCAATATATGTTTATCTAATATCCCGTATAATTCTTAATGAAAGATTTTTCGTGTCTCTAAACATATGTTAAAAACCATTGAATAGGTAATTACGTACCATAACTATATTTCTCAACGTTAACTACAATGTAATTTAGGCCAAAATAAATTGTGACCCAAGACTCTACAGAAGACTTTAAGATGTAATCAGGTGTTAAGTTTTCTAACTAAATCATCAAAGTTTGACAAGCTACAGCATTACAAAGAAGAGTAAATTTTGAATTGTCTCCGACTGCTAAATCGCACGAGACCATAGAATTCTTACATAGATTATAATGTAGTTCAGTACGAAATTAATTTCTATAAAAGCATACCTACGATATAGTTAAAGACAATACGAGTTAAAATTTGCTGGCCAATAGATTGTATTTGTTTCATTAGATATAGCAACAATTCATTAGCGATATGACATAAGATCAATTAAGATAGCTCAGAAATGTGTGGGCCTTTGAAGGAGAAAACACAGAAATGAAACGAAACATTGCGATTTAGATGCTTATGGAATTTAATATTTCCTACAAGAAGATTTTAGAATTTAGTTTAATAATTTTACTAAATTTCTGTGCCACTAAAACGTATTACTACTAAATAAAATTGAGCTAACTAATCAGTATGTCCCGTACTGTAATCAGTACTAATTGTAAACTCCGAACAAATAGGAGAAAGCGTTAGATAATAAAGTACAAGAAATTTTGGAGGGAAAAATAAATTTGGATTTTAGGAATAAAAATCTAGTATATAATCACTTAAGGAAAACTGGAGTACATTCTGGATAAAAAATATTGACGCAAGTAAAGCGAGTGTTTTGTACCGAAGTTAATGAAATACTAAAATTTACGAAGCTTATTATTAAATATACTTTGTTAATTGTGTTATGTGTCAGGTTTCCTATAAATGAAGATTTAAAAAAAATTCCTTCTTTCCAATAGACCAGAGAACAAACATTAAAACTGAACATGTTAAATTTTGAAGGTATAACAAATACTCTCGGGTATTTTTTATACCGGGTAAATATTGAAGGTAAAGTAAATACTCTCTGATAGTAAGTGCTCGAGTTTCCTTTTAGATTAAAAAAAAGTTTATTTTTAGACTTAAGATTATGTTTATAATGAAATTTAAGGATCGAAGCATCTTAATGCTTAACGTTTCTTACTTTTACATGCCACTTTAAAACCAAGATTTTTGCCTTGTTTCCCTCCTTTCAAATCAATCGTCGGGAAGCGGAGAGTGTTGTTATGACTAACATTTTGAAGTATACTTAATTACTGTATCACAAAGAGACTTTAGAATCCGATTTATTACTTTAACTTATAAGAAAGAAGAAATTAAAAATGGGAATAGCAACAATATTCAGTAACCGCTTAATTTCAATAAACAAATGTTTTACATGAAAATGCAGATTTCGTTATTTCCCAATATTAACAGAATTAACAGCAGCTAGCTATCATAAGTTAGATATGTTATAATATCCAAGGTTTTTTAGGGGTCTTACACATTTACTTGACTTACATTTACTACTGGTTGACAGCCTTTTCCTCACCTGGCCTTCGCGGTCTAGAATTTCCACCTTTCTTCAGGCCTAGTGGCCGACTTGGGTGACTTCGCATCGGACTTCCTACGGGACTTAGCAGCCTGACCCGTACTGCTTGGTTTCCCGTCATGACACTTCGAGGCCTGGATCTTCTTGCAGGACCTCGTTTCGCCAGGTTTTGAGGCTTGACCCTCACCGACCGCCTTCACTTCAGTAGACTTCGGCTCCTTAACCAGGCCAGAAGCCTTCTTCAAGTCAACGAGCTTCGGAGACTTAAACGCAGCGATAGATTTTACTTCAGCCTGACCTGCGGTAGCAGTCTGCTTCACTTGGACGGACTTCGAAGGAAAACCAGAAGCAGGAACCTGCTTCGTTTGGACGGACTTCTGAGAAAGACCCGAGGCGGGAGTCTGCTTCGTTTGGACGAATTTCGAGGAAAGACCCGAGGTGGGAGTCTGCTTCGTTTGGACTGACTTTGAGGAAAGACCCGAAGCTGGAGTTTGCTTTGCAACGACGGACTTCGAGGAAAGACCCGAGGCCGGAGTCTGCTTCGCAACAACGAACTTCGGATCTTTAACGGCACAGGAAGCTTTCTTCACTTCGTCGAGCTTCGGAGAATAAACCGTAGCGGGGGTCTTTATTTCAGCTGATCCGCGGCGGGAGTCTCCTTCGACTTATCGGTCTTCGAGACCAGATCCGTAACGCAGGGTTTAACTTTCGCCTGCTCTGTTTCCTGATCCTCAACGGTTTGTCTCTTGTGGAGCAGCTGCGGAACTCCAGTGAATTTCACTTCATCGTTTTTCAAAGCTTTATTCTTCTGGGAGAACATTTTCCCATCTTTGAATTCCTTAGTCTCGAAAGGGTTTTTTCGTTCATCACAATTTTCATCCTCATGCTTCTTGTATTCCTTTTCGTCGTAAGTTTGGATAGTGAGGATGCCGTCTTCATTAAAAATTGCAAGTAAATTTTCAGGCTCAACGGCTTCAGGCAAATTATACTTGCGAGAAAATGTTCGACGGATAAATCCATGTGCATCAGTACGAGCTTCATGATGACCATTCACAATGACTGCTCCTCCATCAACTTCTACATTTATTTCAGAAGACTTAAAGTGGTTTACGTACAGCATGAATTCAAATCGGTGCTGGGTTATCAAATTCAGATCGTTAATTTCTTTTCCATCGTTAATTTTTTCCAAAGCGAAATTTTCTGTTGTTTTGTCAAGGTCCATTATTTTTTTCTTTTTATCTGTCATGTCGAAACCAAGTTTTTCTTTTAAGATGGAAAAATTAAATAACCCAGCCAGGCACAGGACTGCAAGTAACACTTTGCTACTTAAATACAGCAACTCGATTTCAAACATCGCTGGTGGTTCTTGAAGCTTTGACCGCTAGGAGTGCTAGAAGTTTTCACCTCTAGTTGGCGCTGTGCTCTGAGGCCTTTGGCTGAAAAGAGAAGATCAAGCGCTTTTGCTCGACTTAGATTAGTAAAAACTCGATTTATCATTCTTACGTCTTACATAAGATGTGGCTCTGCATTTTGAGGCTTTTGGAATAAAAATCGCCACTTGGATTATTTCCATTGATACTTTGATACTTTCGTCGTTGTATTGGCTTATAGCAGGAGATATTTTGGATTATTTGCATTGGTGAAGTCTTTTGGTAATACAGAAATGAGGAAAATTCATGAAGCAATGTTTAAACCAATCAGCTAACAACACGTGTTAAATACCAATCCTTTATTTTAACATAGGACATTTAATAAATTAAAAATAATAATTAATTTAATTAAAAATACGTTTAAAATAATATAAAACCATATGTGTTTTTGTTTCTAATATTTACTTGTAAATATCGATTTCAAGAAAAAGAATCTATCACTAAGTAACTATTATAATATTTGTTATAACAACTTCCATGCCGGAAAATCCAGAGTTTAATTTAACATCTCAAATTAGAATTAACCATTTAAACTTTAAAAATATAAATTTTAAATCGTGAGAAATGATTCAAATATTTTGCTTTTGATCTTAAATTAAAGTAATACATCGCCATGGCTAATTTTTAAATCCTTAATATTTAATAAAATTAAAGCTCAGTTTGGAAAAACAATTTCAATTTTATAAAAATTGGCCAAATGTTTTCAATTTTTACGTTCACAGAGTAAAATTTTACAAAGCGATATTGAAGACACCACATTATTTCCTTGTACAGCTTATTAAATTATGCGCATTCTTTTGCTGCACTTCATTTAAACTTATTTCTTCCAATTATACTAACTTGAATAACAGATACTTCAAGTTCAAAATGACACCAAAAACAATTTTTGACATATGGGTGTCAAATTATTGTAATTTTATTTTTCAGTAACTAATATAAAACATTTCCAGACATAAGTATAGGAACGAGAGATGTTATTAAAACTTAAATTACATTATTTACGAAAATTATTTTTTTAAATTAACATTGCCATGTGAATGAATGTTTTCGTTATTTAAAACACTTCTGTAATCGGAAGTATATGACTAACGATAGCGAAAATAAACGCTGCATAATTAATTTTAAGTTGGTTAAAGGGTGTATTATTTTAAGGGAAAATATTTTTTCCCTTTACCAGAAAACTATTGTGTTAGCAGGAAAGTAATTCCTTTTATTCCTTTTTACTGTGAAATAAAAGTCATTTTTTTTCTATAAAAAAATTAACATAATCAGTCAAATAGTTTCCATTCTGTTCGATGACTTTTTGACATCAGAGTTATTACTGAAATTTTTAACCTTTAAGAAGTTTTGTAAACTTTGATATAAATGAAAATCCGATGGTTCAAGGTCGGGGCTATATGAAGAGTGCGACCTCACTTCCCAATCAAGTTTCAGTCTGGTTAAAGCTGGTTAAAGCTGTGTGAGGTCTCGCATTGTCGCGGTGGAGTACGATTCCTTTTGGATTTGCCAATTCTGACCTTTTCTCTTTGATTGCTTCCTTCAGTTTCATGAGCTGTTGTCAGTAAACATCTGAGTTGACCCTTTGGCTGCTTGAATGCAGCTCAAAACGCACAATAATTTTGTAATCCAACTAAACTGGCAGCGTAATCTTTTTCTGATGCGATTTAGCTTTCGATAGAATTTGTGCTAATTCATTACGCTTGGCCCATTATAATTTTTAATTGATATTATTGTAGACGATCCATTTTTCACCATCAGTGCAAATTCGTTTTAAAAAAGAGACGATTGCGTTAGGTTTGAAATAGGTATCACTAGTAGTGATTCCTTAAATGAATTTCTTCCATATCATAAGGAACCCAAATATTGAGTTCCTTAACGAGTCGAAGACATCTGATGTGGTTTGTTGTTGGAAAATCCTGTCGTTGGCAAGAGCTTTCAGCACCATACAGGTACCTTGCCTGGGTTTCGTTTCCAATTGTGATTGGGAGCACCAGCATCCCCTTTGGTATTATGGAGGTGCAGTTACTACCGGTACTTGTACCTCTTCACCTCCCACAACCCCTCGAAAGGACGTTAGGCTCGCCGTATATTTAGAGTGCCCCATGCCTCATGGAAAGTATATATTTAAGCACATGCATACCTTCTGCGGGATTCGAATCCGGGCCCCTCGGTACAGCAGTCAGATCTCTAATCACTATCCCGGTTTGGCAGTTGGCGGGTTTTCCAATTGTTGTGTGCGATACAATTAACCTTTTCGCAGTTTTTGGCATATTGTATCGAATCTTCATACAGTTATGGTTTTAATTTTGTCTTATATCCCTTTGGAAAACTAATTGGACACAAGAGCTAACAAGCGGGAGAACATTTAACTTCCTTCAGGTGCTCTCAAGTGAATTAGCAGCTGCAAGCAGAGCAATGGCATATTTCCTGATGGTGCATGACCCTTTTGCAGCCTATCTCTTTTGCCTCAATTGCACTACACAGATTCATGAATATGCGGGTCAACAGCTACCATCGATAATTATATGTTCAAGAGTGGAATCACCAAAGACCTTGATTTCCGTCTGTATACAGCTGAAAATTGACTGGGATGGCTGAAACAACTCTAAAAGAGTAAGCTACTACGAAACAAATTTAAAATTTTCACAGACTATCTGGCAATGAACCGCGAAAATGTGAAAGCAATCTAGACTAAAATATGCTCTCAGCACAGACCTAGCAGCTGAGTGGTGTTGTAATGAACTTATTGTTCTCTGGTCCCTTCTTCAAATGTTTACCAGTAACCGGTACAAAGCGCTAAGCAGATATAAAACTGTGCTCTGTATAAAAGTGGACCACATATGCTTCTCAATGAACACATAAATTTTCAGCTCTACATACTGATTTGTATTTCTCAGCGGCCTGTAAGCGAACTGTAAATAAGTGAATAGCACAAGTGACTACTATGAATGTGATAAGCAAATATTAGATGGGAACTCTGCAAATATGTCAGCTGCATATATGATGTATATGAATATACTCAGCTGATATTGTTCAGTATAATGCATTTGAATAACTTCCTACGTCCATGTTATCATTAACTTCTAGAGTAAATGTTCTCTGTAAACTCAGTCCCTCTTCGCGATAGTCAAAATCTTGACAGGTTCTCTTTAAAATAACGACTGGTCACAAATATCCAACTTCCGAAGTAACTTTACAAACTCTGATTTAAATATTAATATACCATAGAGTTTTTTTTATTTAGGTGACATCTCTGGTCCTCTGATGTACCTTGTCTGGGCTAGCGACTACAGAATGCTTCACCAATTAAGTACAAAGCTGGTAGTCATCTAACAGGTCGTACAGCAACTCAACTAGTGGGAAGTAAGGTAAAGTAAGTTAGGTTTTAATTTTGCCATCATCAAGTTCAGAAGATCGGCCAGAACGCTGATCATCTTCAAGTGAAAGATCTTCAAAACGAAATATTTTAAACCCATTCTGCACATGCGTTCTTTTAAATAATCAATGCTTTAAACTTCACGTATCCTTTTTGTGAGCCTCAGCCCTTTTTTTGCCTTTATGAAAATAAAAAGTAAAATATGTCGAATTTTTTTTTTCTTTCTTTTTTTTTTTTAAATATTTTGATACAAAATCGGACTTTTTTGGAAATAACATACCAATTTTTTCCCATATTTCCATTTTTCGACTTAAATTATACCTAGATATTAAATTTTTTTTAATTTGGTGCAAAATTTACTGAGAAATTCAAAAATATATCTAGACGCAATTTTTTTAGTTTGCGTCAAGAATAATTCACTTGGTGAACTTCTTAGTATATGGCAACCTATTTTCCTTACCCTTCTATTATGCTGGACCGGAAAAAAAAAAGGCACCTCTTTGCTATCCTTTTACATTGCAGATGAGTGGGGAAAAAAGTTATTTCGTTCTTACTTTCAAATAATTTTAACAAAGTGTGTAAACCACATTTTCGTTATTATCGCTTTCAGCAAACATGCCAAATTTCAAAATGCGACAATATATAAATTCACGTATATCTTCGGAAATCTTGAATAAAAAGCTCTAATTTTTTGCAAGTATGCTTAAAAATACATCTACTTTCAGACGATTGTAAAAATTTTATAGGTTATAATTCAAAATTTTTTCGTAAAATTTATAAAAATTATTTTAAAATACAAATTTTTAAAATAAATCTTAAAAATTGGGTGAATTTTATTTGGAATAACCTAAATTTCGAACTGTGTAAGAAAGAATCAAATAAGTTTAACAAAAAAAAAAAAAAAGAGATATTAATGAATACATACCAAATTGAATTAACATTGAGGAGCTAAAATTTTAAGAGCTAATTTTTTAATAACTACTCGTGCGATTTTTCCAAAACTTGGTAGCTTGTCGTAATTTGAGTCGTAGAATCGAAATATGGGAAACAATTGGCATGAAATTTCAGAAAAAGGTCCGATTTTGTGTCAAAATACCTATGCTAGAACAGTGCTATGTATAAATCTAATACGTATCCTAAGTCGCGCTTTCGAGACATGAAAACCGAAAGTTGAATTTTGTTAATCTACCCAGTAAAATGGGAGATATAGAACTGTCCCCCCTTTTATTCGCAGCGTATATAGATATATGATATTAGTGCAATTATGTGTGAAATTGTTGTATTTTTCTGTGTAATGTAACACAAGGAAAAAATCTGACTGAGAAAAGCTACGCCGGAAAAGTAAGAATGCAGGGGTGAGTTCATTTAACATTGAATAAATAGGTATCTCGGCAATGTGAGGAGATACGCCAAGCCGACGGCAGTTTTGGCAAGAAATCGCCAAAAGTAGCCAAACTTGACGACCATTTGGTGACATGTTGTCCGATCCCTGTATCACCGTAACAGGTATAGTAATTGAATATATGTAATTGATTACTATATTAGTTGCAACCGTAATTCGACCCTCATATTACTTTCCAGTAATTTCAAGAAGCAGAAAGTACTAGAAATATCTCGGCCGCAGGTTGAAAACTATTTAAGGCCGAAGCTTACAGCCTCTGCTCTTAATCAGTTGTTATTTTTATTGCGAATTGTTAGTTCAGCGTGAAATGATGTATCTCCGGGTTAGCTCTCTCTTTAAGC